ACAGACGTTTCCTACCTCCCTCGCCAAAGAGTTTCGCTAAGTTATCCTGATATCAAGTATTATTATAATGGTTATGGTGCTGAATTTAAAGGTAGTCATGTATTGCCGGTGAAGGGCTGCAAATTTAGGCCTATGCTCGGCACTTATGGCCGCGACATCCCGTGGGGATCCGGGTTAGAATAGGTCCTCAGTACCCCCTTGCTTGTCGTAAAAAGCGACTAAATGGGGCGGTCCTTCGGATGAGACCGTATAAACCGAGGCCCCGTGTCACAGCAGGTGTGGCACGATAAAGATCCCTCCCTGCTCAAAGGCCTTAAGTGCCAAGCATAGGCCTAATTTGCAGCCCTTCACCGGCAATGGTGACGTCTCCATATCAGTGAAATATTCTGGAGAGGGACGTTAAACAGTATACAATCAATCAATCATCTGTGTTTTAAATTTTAAACTTGGCGCAGCTGATTTTTTTTCTCCCCTTATGTCAGTATTGATTGGTATCAATATGAAGAAGGTGTTGACATGTTTCTTCGTCCTTGTCCTGTATGGAGTTGATGCGTTCTGTAAGTTAAGTTCATCTCTACAATGTAAGAATACGTATTATTCCATGGGAAATGTAAAATTTCTTTCATTCAATTCTTTGGGCTATTTTTCTTTTCATTTATCAGAATGACAGATTATAATGATCTACGACTTACAATACCTATCTTATTACCCTACCGATGAAGTTTGTTTGTCAGTCTGTCCCACATCATTTTCCACTACATGCTTGTATTTGGTGCAAAATCTTATTCGTGAAAGAAGAAAACACTTGCTGTGGCCTTCAACTCGACATTTAGATATATCGACGACGTATTGTCAATTAATAATGATAATTTCCATTCCTACGTCGATACGATATATCCTAGTGAGCTTGAGATAAAAGATACCACAGAGTCCTACACTTCTGCTTCATACTTGGATATTTTACTTGAAAAAGACACTAATGGTAATCTAACAACCAAGCTAATATGATAAACGTGATGACTTTAACTTTTCTATCGTCAACTTCCCTTACTTATGCAGAGTATACCTTCATCACCTGCATACGGAGATATATATATCTCAGTTGATTCGATACGCAAGAGCATGCTCTACGTATGAACAATTTCTAAAACGAGGTAAATTATTAACAAGCAAGTTGATGCAACAAGAATATCAGCAGTCTCGTTTAAAATCATCATTTCGTAAGTTCCATAGTCGATACAATGACCTTGTCAACAAATGCAATTATCATTGTGTCAAATGCTGACTGACGTTTTTCAAACCGATTGTTAGTCAATTATTTATACACTGAATTGACGACGGATTTTCTCTTATTTTCTGATCATGACAAGGAGCACACGGCGGGTGTGACCGGTCGGAAGGGGATGGACACTCCTCCATGGCACCTGATCCCACCTCTGATGTCTCGGGGGTCCGTGTTTGCTCCGCTTTGAAATTGAATACTGTTCGTTATCTCCATATCCTTCATTTTTCCGTTATTTTTTATCATGACAAGGAGCACACGACGAGTGTGACCAGTCAGCATGTGATGCTTACTCCTCCATGGCACATGATCCCACCGCTGATGTTTAGGAGGCCCGTGTTTACTCTGCTCTTTTTTTGTATTGTTTTATGGACTTTGAGATTGAATACTGTTTGTTTTCTCCTTCTCCTTCTCCTAAGACTGTTCTTGACACTCACTATGTAATTTCATCACGCGAGAGATTGGCTTACCTAAAATAAAATAAAAATATAAGTCCAGAAAGAATATGAAAGCTATCTTTATTTTAAACTAGTGTCTAATCAAACTCGGTGTTACAAGTGAACGACATAATCAATTTCATGTAATATTGATGCTCCATTATCAGCTGATGAATGGAACTCTCTCTCCGGGCAAGGTTCTCATCGTCTTCTCTGTAAGAGGAATCTTGCATATACAGATTGCCTCTCTTCATATTCAGTTTAACCTCTTGAATCAACTGAAAAGGGTTCGACAGCATAATGACTCCACGATTATTATGATTATCATGAGTAGGCGTATACATCACGAGGGATGTATAAAATTCCATCTTTGTGATCGGTCAATTTTCAAATGAATACATCTCTTTGAAGAAAATACAAGATACACAAAATAAAGATCATCAAAGAGGAGCTGGTCACTTTCGTTTGTCCGTTATCTTTGGCCGTGGATCCGTTCTCTTGGCTCTGTGATGAAGGTGTACTCGCTGCAAAGACCAAAAAATTTTTTTTTCAAATCACTAACTTTACGCATCAATAAAAAATACGTTCGATTAATTCTGTTCAATTGCTCAGTTTCATAATTATGTTTCAGCCTTTTACCATTAACAAATATTACGAGTCTTTCAAAATTTATTTTTAAAGATCTATAAACATCTAAAAAGAATCATTGATTTTAATTTGTAAGTGTAAATCTTGCCGTACATGTTGGTCTGGCGGAGGAAGGTGTTGTGTTTATTGTTGATAGTAGTTGAGGAACAAAATTCACTGACTGACCGTCGAATTTGCAGGTAAAATTCATCCCCTTGGTATACAGAGCAGTATACCTCAACCCATTGTTCAGAGCTAAAAGAAATATTAATCCGTCATCATTTCTTATTCAAATTCTCAAGCGCTTGTTTGACAACTTACATGTAATACATGAATACATTGAAGAATTTTTGACAGTTTATGATTTTTTAAAGTTTTAAGAGCCAGCATTGCAAACGGCACTGACAAGGAAGATTTTATTCAATTTAAACCGTGATCTGTTTTTTTAAAATAACATATATGTAAGAGTAGCAAATTTTATTCAATTTAAACTATAGTCTGTTTTTTTTAAATTTAAAATTACAAATATGTAAGAGTAGCAAGTATACTTTTATATTAATAAACGTTTCCATGGCATCTATATTGACCACAAGGTACTACAGTTTTAACAAAGGAGTTATAATAAGGTAAATTTAAAACAATCGCCATCATTTTACCAACACCTTGAAGTATTCGAACCCATATTTTCTCAAACTTTCGAATAATGATATAAGACACATGCTGCTGTAGCAAATCACGTAAAATTACATATATAATTTTTATTTGATCATTAGAAACGTGCAATGCCGGGATCGAAAGATCCCAGCATTTTTCGATCCAAGGGAATAAAGTTCTTGGTTAACATTTGTTAGAGGTCTCGGTATTGTCAGTCTGTACTCACTAATCAAAAGTGTACAGACTAATAAAATTGAACATACAAAACTGAACAAAGAGAGCTTTTCGCCAGGCTTTGACGTAAAATTATTAAGAATGCCGTTGTTATTTTATACTTTAAATATTCATGTTATTTATGATAAACGAAAATGAAATTTCTTAAACATTGCTTCGCAAATGCTATAACTAGACAACCGTGACCGAATGATAGATATTAAATCCTCATTGGATTAAAATTCGTAAAATAAGTAGACTCAACTAGGGACAATATGCATGCAAGTTTCATACAGCGATTCAAAGCATTCAAACGTAATTTTATTGATTTTTTTTTCAAATGCGTCAGCAGGGAATGTTTGTGCAATTTTTTAAATGTATGTTTTTAAGAACATATGATAATGTTAAGTAATTGAAAAATAAGGAGAAACCCTCACTGCTTATAAAAATAAAGGAAAGTTAATATTTTTTGTGGAAAGTTCATTATTAATTTTTGTTTATGTCCGAAAAATTTTGGTGCTGCCTGTGTTATAACGCACTTTGAAAAAATAAAATTTCTTTTCAAAGTGCGTTAATATCGACCATATTAACTCACTTTGAAAAAATGTGTATGGATTGGTCAATATTCTTGCAAATCTTAGGTATGATAAATTATTGAATCTGTTTGATTACTCTTCTGTGATAAGGTCACTTCAGGATGTGAAAGTGGGCGATTGTGATTTTTCCATACTTTCCTCTTAAATGCTTTACTGTACTTAATTTTTTTCCAGTTTGCATGCATTTTATGTTACTTAAATTTAATGAATTTTTTCAACGTCATACCAGTTATGTAAATCATATATTTGGGTGTAGCATAGGCATCAGTACCGGGAAGGGTCGGGGGGGGGGGGGGTATATGCAGGCATTTTTTTTCAAAGTGAGTTGACTTTGTCCCAATTTTAACGCACTTTAATTTTTTTTTCAAAGTGCGTAATTTTTACATAGTGCGTTGCCACAGTGATGTATACCTTGTCGCCCTATTTGCATCGTAAGCAATTTAAATGTCTCTCTTAAAACGAGTTCTTCATTCACAGCTTTGTATCAAAGCTGAAACCTTAAGTTTAGAAGCCTCTCGTCGCTAAATTCTTCGCAATAGAGTGTATATTGTTTATATTAAATCTTGTCAATAGAGTGTATATATTGTTTATATTAAATCTTGTCAATAGAGTGTATATTGTTTATATTAAATCTTGTCAATAGAGTGTATATTGATTATATTAAATCTTGTCAATAGAGTGTATATTGTTTATATTAAATCTTGTCAATAGAGTGTATATATTGTTTATATTAAATCTTGTCAATAGAGTGTATATTGTTTATATTAAATCTTGTCAATAGAGTGTATATTGTTTATATTAAATCTTGTCAATAGAGTGTATATTGTTTATATTAAATCTTGTCAATAGAGTGTATATATTGTTTATATTAAATCTTGTCAATAGAGTGTATATTGTTTATATTAAATCTTGTCAATAGAGTGTATATTGTTTATATTAAATCTTGTCAATAGAGTGTATATTGTTTATATTAAATCTTGTCAATAGAGTGTATATTGTTTATATTAACTCTTGGCAATGGAGAGTATATTGTTTATATTTACTCCCGGCAAAAAAATTGACGGGTACGTACTTTAAGGACAGTAAGTATTGGCATGATAAAGAACCAGTCTTGCTTGATTTTCATGAGTGCCAAGTACATGTATGTGTTGAAAATCTACGACTTAAGTAAATTGCTGTATGTCAATATGTGCTGCAAATTCTCAAATAGAATTTAATCCAATTCAAAATTCGACAATCATAATCTTTGGATTTCCTGTTTGAATGAAACGGCAGCTATTATTTAGGATGCATGATAAAAACATGAGACATTCTTTTGGCATTTACATAACGATATACTAGTATTTAGCTGCCCAACTCTTCGAAGTAGCAGATAGTTCATAATTAGCAAATTTTCTGCATTCGGCAAAACTCAGGATGGATACTTTTTCCTCCGAGCTCAAACTGCGAAACCTTTTTTTAGCCGGGCTTATTGCTCATTGCTCAAAGAGCAATTCCAGGCTTATGTGATCTTGTTCAAGGCAGGATGTTGAGTTTCAAAATATTTTTTTCGTCATATATAAACGTGATTCATGTAAGAAATCCATTCTACTCTGTAAATGAACCCGGCTCTCTGTACCTCTGATTACTTTGATTTTTATTCGTCTTCACTGACATTTGCAAAGCACGCATAATCTGCGATTAATCTGTCGCTCTTAAGACCTTTTGTATACCATAGTATAGTGATATAAAGGTTTGTAGGGAAAAAATTAGAAGTGATAGTAACTTTGCTTCGAAAAAGTTGGACGCTACCCCCCCCCCCCCCCCCTCCCCCACGAAATAGGATTTTCGATTTTGGGCAACATAAATTTTCGTTTTTTTCTTTTTTTTTTGCCTTGTCAACTCTTTCAGGTCAGTAAAAAAAAATTCTCTGGTTGGCCCCCCCACTTTGAAAAACGATGCTACGTGCCTGTTGTATGACGTAAATATAAATATGTGTACCTTCAGCATCCCCATGACACTTGTTCGTTCCGTTCCAGCTGCAGTGTGCCAAATCGTTGCCGTTGTCAACAGCTAGGCGGATACCTGTGTTGGAATACCTGTAGGACGCATGCTCACAGGAAATGCCAACGTGTGTGTTGTTATGGTACGCCATTGTTTGAAACTCGGAAACTAAAAGATATGTATTTAGGCTTGCAAGCATTGCAACAAATACAAATATTTAAATTCATAAACGCACAAATGCACACTTTTATCCGAGTTTATCAACAGGAATTATAAGTAGAGAAAATAATTCTCAAAGAAATAGTTATAATGCATATTTTACGTCAACTTCTCTTATCATTTGTCTAAGATTCCTGTTAGTAATTACTTGTAGCTTTTTGCTTGAAAGCATGTTAACTACATGTAACAAAACAGAAATCGCCGGAGATTTTTATGATAAGGGTAGTAAACTAACAAAGGCTGTGCAATTTAAAAAGGAAGAAGAGCGTTATTGATAAAACTTGAACTATTGTAGCATCACACATTTTTGTTGGGATGAAATGTTAATTTTTTATCTATGATAGTTTACTGGACTTTTAATTTGGTTGTTTAAAAAGTATCTCCATTCAATATATAGTCATTTTAAAATTCGTGTGAGATTTCTGTTGATGATTGTTAACAACGAAATTTAATCACCCACGAATATTTGTGTTTTTACAATATTTAATAGGTGAAGTCACATACATATTTATATTTACGTTCGATATTGTCAAAATTTTACACAATGCATGGTGCATGGTGGTGGAAAGCGTTACAGACAGACAGAAAGACGGACAGACCCAAATTAATATCCCCCATTTTTCAAACGGGGGGCAATGAATTAATACTGCAGTGTATGTGTTTATTTATATGTTTCAGAAAGATGTTTTGTCATAATTTGAAAAAAATAAAAAATGAAATGGAGCTCGTACTTCATCTCAAATATCTTTGGTGTCTCCCAATTCTTAGACCATGCAGAAAAGATCCACTCTTCATCGCAACATATTTCAGTAAGACTGAATCACAATTTGACATGAACAAGTAAGTATTTTAATTATTTTAGATCCAGGAATTCTAAACTTTATATTGAAAGAAAAAGAATAGGTAAAATACACGAAATAAATGTTGACGTTATGTTCAGCCAATATTAATATATGATTCCATCTCAATGGAAATTAACAACTGACATCATCAGTTCCCAAACGTATATTGTTAATAGGAATTGAAAGATCGCGTCAAAGTTCATTCTCCGACTTTGCTTTCCTAGCATTGGTAAATATTTAATAAACAATGAAATATTTTCTTCTCATTCAATCACGGCCAGAATGTGATTTAGCCGCGGTTTGCGACGACGACTATTCGTACACATTTTGTGTACCATTGAAAAAAACTCACAATTGAAAAAAATTCATTCAAATCAAAATAAAAATCGATAGAAGCAGACTTACGACAAGGCTTGAGAATAATATTGTCCTGGACATCGCTGCTGTTGACACAGGTCGTATTCACCCACAACGTTTTTCCTGCATGGACAGTGTGGTTAAATGGAGTTGTTATGGTTAGAATCCCACTTTTGTTGTGGAAATATTTCACTGGATCCTCGGTGTGACAATATAACGTGTAATTATTAATATACTGGCAGGTTGCTAAATTATATGAAAGTATGTTGAATACGATGTTTTTAATGTCGCATTCCAACGTAATTGAAATTCCCAATTCCTTCGACTGACAAGTCCCTTCGGATAGTACATCAGAATTAATGATTGTCCCGAATATTCCTTAAAAGGAGACAAAAGTTCAAAGGGTAATGAAAAGAGTTTTATGAAAATGAATTGAAAAATTGCAATCTTGTTTCTAAATATTATTTTCTAGAGACACATTGATATTTATATCAATCGAAGATTGGAATACTGACAGATGATACAAGCAACTTTCATTTTGAAAAAAAATCATAATAACAGCTAATGTTATATAAAAAAGGAATAAGTTTTACCGCACAGACTTTTCGTTTCTCTTTAAAAGTTTCACGATAACGCGATTTAAGTTGAAAAAGGTAATAGGCTGATAAAGATAATTATGAAAAGGTGAAACATTGAACACTTTAGATTAGATTTTATATTTTAGAAGGGACAAGATAGGATAAGACCAGTATTTGTAATGTACAATTACACCGGTCAAAAATACATAACAATTCACACATCCATTTTTTTGTGTGTACATGTATCATCTGTCCTTCAAATCAACACGCCCCCAATACGAATCATCGTACAGTTTCAACAGGCATTCACCGAATAAATGTATTTAAAATTCAATATTTTATAGACATTTTCTGCTCAGTCCACCCCTTTTGACTTACCCTGTTGAAGTATAAAGGCTCCCACAAAAAATAAGCCTGCTATCACTCCCAGGGTAACCATGTCTCTGGTGTAGGAAAAAATCAGGACTTTGCTGTAAAAATTTTTCAGTTATTTTTATACCATGGTTTTACCCTGGGTTTTTTTTTTAGACTATGAGATCGTTTGTGTATATATACCCGTTGACGTCTTTAAATTTCCATCGAGCTTATTTAACATACTTTTTTATCGGTAGGGTTTATCTTTCACTGTATGATTTAAAAGACTGTGTATTGATTTATCTAGACTGCATTCCAGTGACGCTTCATTTAATGTTGGCGAAAGGGTAGTTTTGCTTATATCACTTTTTTTTTATTTAAAGCCATATTTTGTTTGCCCAGGGTAAAATAATTTGGTCGGTAGGTGGGAAGGATTTTTTTCCAAAATATACATCTGTGGACGGGATAAGAGTAATAAACGAATAAAAAATATTGTGTCATGGAATGTAAAAAAAAAAATCGAGTCAGGCCATTTTTAGTCGGCTGAGAGGACGCCTAGAAAAAAAAATTGAAGATTGTCCAAGGCACATGAACTTATTTAAACAAAATGCTATTTGTGTTATTGTTCTGAATATCCGATCCATCAAATTAAAAAGATATGTTATTAAAACTATTTTATAAAAAAAAATCATTGAGAAATATGTTCAATTAAGTATTGGTAACAAATGGATAAAACTTATAACGCGAAAAGTATCTCTATAAGAACATATCGGTAATGAAGATAAAAGATTCATTATACCCCCGCTCCGAAGGAGAGGGGGGTATACTTTTTTACCCTTGTGTGTCCGTCTGTCTGTCCGTCCGTTAGTCTGTCCGTAACAATTTTCGTCGCAGTTTTCTCAGCAACTACTCATGGCAGATGCTTGAAATTTTAACACATTCTTCTCTGAGTCATGCCATATACGTTGGGATAAATTTTTGTACAAATCGGATGTCAACTTCCTGTTTGTCTGTCTGTCCGTTTCTTCGTCGCAATTTTCTCAGCAACTACTCATTGCAGAAGCTCGTAATTATAACACAATCTTCTCTGAGGCGTGCTATATGTTGGGATACATTTTTGTTCAAAGCGGATGTCAACTCCGGTTTGTCTGTGCGTCTGTTCGTTTCATACATAACAAATTTTCGTCTCAGTTTTCTCAGTAACGACTAATCGCAGATGCTTCAAATTTTAATACAATCCTCTCTGAGGCTTGCAATACGGTCGGATACATTTTTGTTCAAATCGGATGTCAAATTCCGGTTTGTCTTTGCGTCTGTTCGTTTCATATATACATAACAAATCTATTTTCGGCGCAGTTTTCTCAGCAACTACTCAAAGTTGATGCTACAAATTTTAATACTATCCTCTCTGAGGCATGCAATACGGTGGGATACATTTTTGTTCAAATCCGATGTCAACTTCCGGTTTGTCTGTGTGTCTGTCTGTTTCATACATAACAAATTTTCGTCTCAGTTTTCTCAGTAACGACTCATCGCAGATGCTTGAAATTTTAGTACACTGTTTGTTGAGACATGTTACATAGTGGGTTTCATTTTGATGTGAATCTGATGTCAACTTCATATTTTCTTTGCCAGTAATTCAACTTGTGTATATATATTGACATGATAGTGTTTATTCACATCAGAGCGGGGGTATTACTAGTGAACATTGGCTCACATATTTCTTGTTCTATTTGTAAAATTCTTGTTATAAAATGATAAACATTAGTGACGAAGAAAAAAGGCAATCTTAATGTGTACAGAATAAACTTGCACTGTCATTCTTGGCTTTTTCCTTAAAAACGTGACATTTTGATATCGATTAGAAAAGGTGTTGTGCCAAAGGTATAATTAACTCGAAAGGAAATTCTATTACAACGAGAGTTTGAAAACTATTTATAACTGAATTTGTATTTTTAAATAAATTGTTAATTATTTACTATTTCATTTTGAAACATATTCATTAAATTAAAATCTGGGGAAAAAAACAACACAGGTTGAGATATATGAAAAATTTAAAGTGATGGGTTCTAATTCTAATTTATGAAAATGCATTTCAATTAAAGCTACGTAATTTATAAACAGAAGTGTCAAAGACTCTACACATTAGTTGTACACGATTTTTATGCGTCTTGCTGTCAATGATTTTTAGGTTGCAACTTCGCCAGTAATTATATTTAAGATAAAATAAAAATTTTCATCATTATATACAACTCTTGCCTCTTGATGTAAACAAATCATGAAACATACATAACAAACTCTCGAGATTCATTAAAAGCACTCAACTGAAACGAAAACCGCTTTTTATATCAATGTCAGAATAAGAAAATACGTTCATCTTTAAACATACATTTCAAGATTGTCAGAGCAATCAACAATTTTTTTTTAGTCGTCATTCATTTTAATTCATTATAAAATAGATGTACAATTTCATCATGGAGAAAAATAAAAAGAAGTCGACCTTACCTGAAGCAGTTTTCCAATATATTGATATACTGTAAACCTACAGCTCTGTTATCAAGAACTATCTACGTCTTCTATGCGTTTTATTGTTTACTTCCGGGTTGATATCGCGACAGGACCACACACTCGCCTCTACCTGTGATCACTGGTTTGCAGTGTCTTTTAAATATTTGTATATGGAATTTCCTAAATGTGTATCTTAGTTTATATACATACCTGTAACTACTTCCAAACTTCTTACACTTTTGTCCTTTTTTGGAAGTTCGTATGACATATTAATGAGAATATCAATACCTGTCTAAATAATTATTTATTTTCTTTAAATTTTCACTAAATTAGATCTCAAGATATATGTTGTTTTGCTGGCGAAGAATCAACACATCGCAAAAATAAAAAAAGAAAACGGAGATGAAATACTCATACTGAAATAAAAATGAACTTTACGATAACAAATTCTTTTAAATATTTCTTTACGTTTAATGGGTAGCTATGTTGCCTCCGGTATTTACTTTCATTATGTATAATTAAGAGATTTATTGCATGAATGTTTTAAAATTGTTCAAAAATTAAATTTTAATAATTATAAAACTTAGTGAATGAAAACTGATATACTTTATTGGATTCAACAAGTAAAAATATTCAAAATTTAATTTGATTGGTCACATTTTTGCGTTCTACTGCACTGCAATAATATATGGATCACTGGGAACATGGTGCAAGTGTTACATTTTAAGTAAAAACATAAATTAAATTTATAAAAGTTGGCACTTTTACTAAAAAAAAAGGAACGTTTGCAAATAGCAGACCTGTTTACCCTTATCGTTATCACTCAGTATTCTTTATAAGATTTGTTCGTGAGAATTGGCATTTCCCAGTAAGATTTCATTTTCCATCTACTTTTCATATATTTATGGAGACAACTGCTTTTCTGATTACAAAAACATGGTTAAATAACATGGTCTTTGTCGTTTCATACCACATCGTTTTAAACTGAACTTGAAATAAGCTGAACTTGGCAACCCGAAATCACTTTTGTGTTTGAAACCTCTGTTTTTAGGGATAAAAAAAGCGTGAAACTGAGGCAGATTATAACGAATTCAAAACAAATGCATTTTCAATTTCCGTACTTTCATTATAGCAAAACATGAGACGTAATTTGGACTAAAAATCCGTACAAAATACGGCGAAATCGTAAGAGTAAACAGGTCTGAAATAGAAAATGAAGATAATATTCAAGCAATAAGAGCTTTATCGTTCAGAATTTTAATTTGCTGGTAAAATGTGATATTATGATTAATTTGTATGTAATTTTAACCCATATGACCAACAAGCCCAAAATAAAGTTTAAACATGTTTCAGAAGAAATATTTCTGTACAACCGAGTATACAGATTTATATAAGAAATCATTATTGTACAGGACGACAATAATTCAAATTTGCTTAAATGAAAGCTAATAAAAAAAAATTCCATTGCAAATATGAACAACAGAAGTTTATAAATGATTTATTTTTCTGTCATTAAATTAGTTAATTACAAATTTGCAATAAAGTTTTCCGATGTCAAACAGGCAACTCATATTGCTTTAACAGACGATAATAATTCAACTTTGTCCAAAAAGTCACACCGCATTAATACAGTGCTTTATTGATCTGCTAAACTCTGAATTCCTGACGTTGTAACGATATAACTGTTGTAAGTGTATTTCATGCATGTTCTTTAATATCTAATCTCACCTATAAAAAAACAGTAGAAGAATACCTTCGTAAAAATCCTGTCCTAGTGTTACGTAATGTATGTAGGTCTATTTGAAGGGCTATGTGAATTTAAAATTAACGTAATTAAAGAATTGGATGCGTTGTCATCTCAATTCAATTCTGATAACTTATTGACTACAGATAGCTGCATCCTGCAGTTTATTAATTTTTTTTCATTCAAAAATACAGTGTATATTTTGAGAGATGGGATTATGGGGAGATGCGAGTTTATTTAAAAAAAGGCTGAATGACTGAACATTGATTTGACTTGAAGGACAGATTAACTTGAAGGACAGATAATTGTCATCTGACATTTTTTTTATACCGAATTAAACTAAATTGAAAATTGAAATAATTTCTATTCTGCTTTGATTAGACATTATTTTTTTTTTTTATTTTACTACAATTGGTCGAGGGAGAAGTGAATCTTAAGACATAACTTGTAGAATTACACAAGAAATGTACAACAAAACTGCTAGACTTCTGTATTAATTCTATAAGAAACACTGGTTTAAATTTGGTGTCAGCTATAGATTTAAATCGGGGCATTAAAAACAAACTCGTAAAGTGGACAACATTGAGCCACAGTTCATACATTTCTGTACATGTGCACTTTTTCTTTTCATGTTTTCATATAATTGAATTTTATTTGTTATTGCATATTTCTGAACAGGAGAGGTATATATTATTTACTATGAAACATTTAAAACTGAAGTCAAATAAAGTCGATATAATTATATCTAGGTCCGCATGTTTTTCCAAGTATTGATAGTATCTTTAGCATGTTTCCAAAAAAAAAATACTTTTAACAAATTGACATGGCTGATTAAGGGAAAATTATATGGAAAGGTGACGA